GGTTAGTAATATTATTAGTAATTTGGTCATAATCATGTGGTATTATTGTTAATTAATGTTGAATGATATCATAATAACTAGATTATAAAGTCTAAATTGTCATTATTGTATAGCATATTGGGTACCCGATAACCGATCCGAAAATCCGAATACCTAAAATTCAGATACCCAAACTTATCGGTTCGGTTAATAAATCTCATACTTAATGTTATTGGTTGTCGAATACTCAAACCGATAGTGTTAACGATACGGGTACCCGATTAATGTTCACCCTTATGGTATTACAAAATCTACTTTTTAAACTCGTTAAAAAAATACCTCTTTCCTCTTCACACTACTCCCTCACTCTCTCATTCTCTCTCCTCCCTCGCCGGAAAATGGCGAAATTGAACGACCCAACATCACCTCCGCCGCCAACTCCGCCGCCGGCAATAGGTAAGATCGGACCATACACAGTCTTTCTTACTCCTCCGACGACCCCTAAACCCACTTCCGAAGCTCCTCCCGCCGTCATTTCACAACCCCACAAAAATATCACCGTCAATTCTCCGCCGCCGGTTCAGCCGCCACCGGCCAAGTTCGAAACTGCCGGTGACCGCTTCGCTTTCTTCTGGGAAGCCATTGCTAAAGCTCAAAACGGTACCGTTTTAACCTATTTTCCCTTTTCCTGGATTCTTTAATTGCGCACTTTATTGTTACTTCTTTTGGGTTTTTTTTTTACTTACTTTTTTTCTTTTTTTGGGAAAATTTAGTTCATGCGAGTGTAGATGAGTACGTGGCGAATTGGTTGGGGTTGGATCAATCGAGATATCAATGGGCATTGAATGATTATTATGAATTTAAAGGAATGGTATGTTTTTTTTTTTTTCTTCTTTGATTTAATTTTTTGAGATTTTTATGCAATATCCTGATGTTTTATTTCAATGTTTATAGAAATTTTCATGCATGTGTTAGAAATTGTAGTGAAATGGCGGCGTTATTGTGTTTTGAAGGAAAATGAACTTGGTTGTAATCAATTGTCCCAGAATTGCCCATTTCTTAGCTTTATTGTAGATTTAATCTTGTAGTATGAATGTATGATTTGTTGTGGGTTTAGAATGTGTCATACAGAAGTAAAGTGATTCCTCTTTTGTGGATTTGAGTAAATTGTATATGTTTTCGATTGATAGTTGCTATTTCTTTGTGGGTGTTCTGGATCTTTGCCTGATTTATAGTCCTTAACTGGGTATTTTGTGTGGAATCAGAAATGGACTCGGGTATAGGTGTGATACAGACACATAAATAAAACAGTGAAATTTGAAAAGATTTCGCTATATATCATAGTATATGCAATGGTCTTTGTTCGAGTATGAACGAGGTGCACAATATCTTCTACAAGTGTCCATAGAGGAAAAATTGCGTGAGGTTCGTGGTGTGCCATGAAATGGCCATGTCCTGTCTCTTTGCCTACAGAAATTGCCGTCTCATTAAAACTATGTCAAAAATCAAAGGGCTGTTATGCATAAAGGCATTGCATTTAGTTGGATCTTTACAAGGTCTTCTTTGTTGCTGCTGATTGTGACAGGTTCTCTTTGTGACTTCATTGAGCTTTAGCAGGTTTTGCAGAGAAAGTATAGCTTCCAAGATAACCATTAGAAAGACTGGTGTTTGTACTTCATCCATTATAGGAAATTTGGAATTTGTATCTTGTACAGTTGTACGTAGTCTTTTTTGGGTTTACCTTGTTGAGAATTGATATTTATTTCAAGCCCGATAGCTTGGTATTGGTGTTATCTATATAGAGGTATATTATTTGTGCAAAGAGTACACCTGGGGATTGTCATAATTTCACCCCCCTTGAAACTAAGAAATGTTGACCTTAAAGGGAGTTAATATCCTGCGTGCACAAATCCATTTACTCAAATCCCTGGTTCTTTAGTCAAAGCCTTTTTTTGTTAGGTATAAGTAGCCTTGGGAACTTCAAGTCCGTTCAAAGCTGAGAAGGTGACTAGTGACCAATGTCCATGAGACTTGATTCCTTGTGTAAAACATATCTTATATAGACTGTGGAAGTAATTTACTTATTGTGTGTGTGTTTGTTGGGGGTGGGGAGGGGGGTGTAACATACCTGCACTTACATAGTTACTCTATCAAGTAGTTGAAATGTTGAATAACAAATTGTTTCCAAGGGGACATTTCTTTCTAGACTGATGAGATTAAAATCATTGTTGAGGACTTCTGCATTTTCCTCATATACTGTTTCTGCTACTAAAGTATGATAAGGATATTATTGTCTTGGGAATAAGCTCTTCAATTCAATAAGTATTGGTGGCTTCAATTGACCTGTAGAATGCAGGATAGATTAGTCTTAGGCTAACTTGATAATGAGGAACAGATGTTGGACTCAATTAATATAGTTTATCTCAATAGCCAACTTGACTTGCCTTTTTAGCTGTTAACAACTGCTTCAAGCCTTGAAAGGTGGGCTCTAGATACATGATGTTATGTTTGAGGCCCAGTTAAGGCTCATTCTAGTCAATAATCCGGATGTTTTGCCACTTTTATGTCATTGGTTTATAGAGTTTTTATCATGAAAACAAATTTGGGAGGGAACGCACAGGCTGACTATGAGAAATTGTGATATTTTTCTTGACTTTTGGTGTTGATTTTAACAGTATCTCATATCTAATTGGATGAGCATGAATCTTTCTAATTCCATTGTTAGCTTTGTTTAGTGAAGGTTTTTAAGACAAAATTTCTGTATCCATTTGCTTTTCTATTCCATTCATTTTGCCACTGTTTGTTTTCTTTTTCTTTAATTACCCTCAATATATTTCAAATGAGCTATAAAACATAGAACAATAATTTCTGAAGAGAGAGAGAGAGAGAGAGAGAGAGAGAGAGAGAGAGAGAGACGTTTATGGATTTATGTCCAAAGTTTAGAGTTACCTGTTTTTGAAATGCGTGCAATACTCTCTTAGTTGGGTACTGTGAGCAGTCCATGAACCATGAAACCCATAAGGTTACCTGGAGTAATTTGTAATATGAAGAGATCACCTAACATAGTTAAATTACTTGTGGTTCAGTTGAGGAGATGGTGGTATGCAAATTTTGATGCTATTTGAGTTTTTAAAGGCATAACACGTTAAAATATTCTTGATGTGAATGAAATTGAAGAAAAACAGAGTTGTGCCACACTGATTTCCCGATTATTCGACCACCAATCAACTTCAGTTAGTTATATAATTAGCTTGTGGGAAGTATAAATTGCATTATTATGTCATGAGATCATGAATCATAGTCATGAACTAAACTATATTGGCACCTTGTTTATGAATTGCTGTTACAGTGGTAAGCATCTAACTAATATGAAGTAGTAATTATTTGACTGAACTTCACAGTCACAGGCAACTGCTGTGTATAAACACTGAAATTTGGGATTTGCTTGTAGGAGAAGGGAGATGTTCTGACGAAAGAAGTTTCAAGCAAGAGACCAACTGTTTAAACTTGTGATGTATTGCAGGTATAATATTTTGATAATAAAAACCCCTTATGTCTCTGGTTTGCGAATCCCTGAGTCCCTCACTTGTTTACGGTTCTTGCAGGAATCATATATAGAATGCGGTTTGTACACCCTTTCAATTGTAATATATACTTGTACAGATGGTTGAATCTGACGGAGTTAGGAGTCGTGTCTGAAATGAAGGTTTACGGCTTTATCCTGCATAATATCTCATGTAAATGCAGGGAGTGGTGATTCCTCAAGTGCTAAATCTGCCTGTATCAGTCTTTGGTCACCATGTATTCTTTTTGTATCTTTTAGATTTGCTGTAATCATCATGTTCTCTCCAAGTTATTGCTTACATTCATATTATCATCTAAATATGTAACTGTTCCTTGGATATTCGAATGCCCTACTGATGCTTTTACATACTGGTATTTAAAGCTCTTTCAATAATCTACTTATGCTTAGATGGAAATCAGCGTGTACCAACTAACTTCAATTGGATTTCACAAATTGTAAGAAATCTTACCAAACGGCCTATTTTCTGACCACACAAAAATATCCTATTTCTACTTCCAATACAGTACATGTAAATTGTTGGGAAAGAAAGCATAATGTTGACCTAATGAAAATTAGTTGGGTGCTTACAAGGAAAGATGAGCATGACTTATAATCTCTTTTGGAGTTATCCACATCATAAAGGACTTGTTAATCAAGGATCGAAACTGCACTTAGTTGACACTTAGGTCACTTAGGTTGAGTTCTCTTCACCTTACATACTATGTATATTTATTACAAGTACCTATTTACAATAGAATTAGACCAAATCAGATCCTCTAAATTTTTTGAAAGGAAGAAGAGGCTCGGGCCTCGGGGGTGCATATTATTTGTGAGAAAAGCTATTCTTGAACAATGTCAAAATCTGCTAAGGTTGCAGTTGCTTTACCCAATCAATTGGGACTAATCTAGCAGTTAAGTGAGCCACAAAATTCCCGGATCTTTTTACATGGTTGCATGGTCCAAAGTCATCTCCCATAAAGCAAATACCTTCAATGATCAGATCAAGAGGTGCTCCTCTACATTTCTTCGAATTGTATCACACATATTCGCACTACCACTTGCTTGTAGCCAAGACTCCTTGCCACTGTGACACCAAGTCTAGCAGCAAGATCTTCCACCATATCATCAGAGCCCCCTTTCTCTCTTCGCATCGCCACCACTAGCACCCTTCCAGCATCATCCCTTATAATCTTTTATGTACTTATTCCTCCTAACCCTAAAAATATTCAATAAATTTTTATGGACGTATATGGTGATAAATAAACCTCTGATGAGCAATGTGAATCTTAGTCTCACATCTCTTGCAACACCATACCAGATTACCAGGTCTACAAATGAATTTCCTGGTAAGAGTAAGAAGCTGATCTTTGGCTGTTGCGACCACAAACAATTGGAATACCATATAGGTGGGGAATGGGATTATGTAGGACATACACTCTATTTTAAGGTTTTATAATGAGAAACATTAACCAGAGGCATTTTTTACCATATTGGAATGAACAAAATTTCTTCCATGCTCTATCTCAATAATTTTTGTTTCCTTTTGCTGTTTTTTCATCTCAAAATCTAAAAGCCTAACAGCCCTTAAAGTGTATGAAGTATATACAAGATGAGGAACTTTCCAAAGAAATGAACACTTCACACAACCATCATAAATGGAGACATACACCTGAAGAATGGTGATACATCGTTTCTGCAAAATACAGGAACATCCAGACAGGCATCTGATGGCAATAGCATACCTTGCTCTACTTTACACTTTACAGCATTATGTAGAAGGCTTTCCGATATTCAGATATTGGCTGGCAAAACAAGGGCACAAATTATTAACCTGAAGATTTACTGACCTCATTGAATACTAAATCCTTCTCTTTATAGAAATTTCACATACTTCCACTTTACTTGAATTAGCTTTCTCCAGGACTCTACCATGTATATTTTCTTCGGTGCAAATTTTCAAACTTTCAATAGGCTCCCTACGGTGAAAAGTCTGAGTATCTTTCTTCATTCTAATCTCTTCTAACTTCTTCAAAGCAGCAAGACGACAAGCCTTTTCAAGCTCACCCTTCGCCTCATTATCAGTGCCCTTAAAGCTGGTATGCACCAAACTAGTTGCCACCATTCCAGGTGCAGTAGCTTCCTCATCACTTCTATAAACCTGTAACATACGTTCTTCATCAGGCCTTTTGCGTTCTCTTTCAGGTGCCGAATCCCTGTTACTTGAATCATGGAGCTTGTCTCCATCACTAGATCTACATAAAATCCCTCCTTGAACATCAGGATTCATGAAATCAGATCTTGCAGTTTGATTACAAGTCCCGCAGTAACTTCTGGACCTATCAATAGAAACAAAATTCTCAACATCAACTTCAACTAAGCCCCTGTATGCATTAGAACAACTTCTGACATGCCCGGCTCCTTGACATGGTGCTGGGCACTTCTGTGTCCACAATGCCTATCTTCTTCATCAATCCTCTCTCTATTTCTCTTTGTATCTGCAAAATCTGACTCTTTCTTGGACTTGGACCTAGACCTTGTTCTTCGACTCTTGTGGGATCTTTTCTCATACCTGCCAAGCTTATTTCCATCTGATGATTCTACATCATATATCATGGGTCTTGAATGTATTCTACTATGTCTATGGTGTCTATCATCATCCCCATCACTCTCTGTGTCTGTAGAGCCTGACTGTTTCTGTAGCCTTGAGCTTTTTCTTACATCCTTTTGAGCACGTGTCTTATCCTTAAACCTCGAACTTTTTCTTCTTTTCTTTTGTTGCCTCTTTTCGACCTTTACAAGCCTACTATCATCAGAACATTGAGAAGCACTGCTAGATGATTCTGCTTCATCTTTCATCATCCTTGTTTTTTCCTTACTACGACTGTGGTGTCCATCTTCCTCATTGTCCTGACTATCACCATGAGAGTTATTTAAGGAGGCTGCCTCAATTTTCTTTGCAGTGACACGTTTATCTTTATATCTATGAAATTCATCATAATTCTTTTCTCCATAAGGACTCTTTCCCACATCAGATTTGTCAACTTTATTGTGGGGACATTCACGAGCTGACTCTGCAACTCCGTTCTGCCTACTTGAGCTTCTACTCTTGTGTTCATGGTATCTGTCACTTACTCCTCCCTCTGCAATCTCACCTTTGGAAGAATTAGCATCAACTTTTCTACTTTTGTTGTCTTGGTCTGTAAACAATCTCTCTCTTTCCCTCTTTTGTGAGCTTCTCTTTGTGCCAGCAACATATCCCTGACCATCAGTGCTCCCCTCTGATACATCGAAACGAGAATCTTGACATGTTCTTCTTTCTTCTTGCATCTCCCTGTCAAGATTGCTGGTCTCTCTGTCATCTCCTCTGCGTGGACTGTACCTTCCACGCCTTCTTTTGTAACCATCATCTTCATCAGACCAGCTTTTCCTATGAGGGCTGTCTAAACCCCTAGACCTTGATCTCCTTGAATGGTACCTGACACAAATGACCAAACATAAATAACTTGCACTATTAAGCAGAGTGTGGGTACATAAAGCATTTAAGTAGGTAAATAATTAAATAAAAAGGATTTCTCATTGATGGTAAAACACAAACATTTTTATAGCTTCAACTTTTCTTTCTATTCTTGTTGTCTTGGTCTGCTGACACTCGTTCCCTTTTCCTCTTTTTCGAGCTTTTCTTTATGCCAACAACAGATCTATGACCATCAGTGATCCCCTCTGATACATCAACATTATCAGTTTCACTGTGCTTAAAGCAACGATAATCTAGATAGGTTCTTTCTTTTTGCATCTCCTTGCCAAGATTGCTGGTCTCTCTGCCATCTCCTCTGTGCGGACTGTGCCTTCCGCGCCTACTCTTGTAACCATCATCCTCATCAGATAAACTTTTCCTATGAGGGATGTCTAAACCCCTGGACCTTGATCTCCTTGAATGGTACCTGATACAAAAGACGAAACATAAATAACATGCACTATTGAGCAAAATGTGGGTACATAAAGGTGATAAAGCATTATAACAGTAGGTGAATGAAACTTGTTATTAAAAAGGACTCCTCATTGATGGTAGAACGCAAACATTTACATACATGTGAAGGTGAGTGAGAAGGCTGAAGGGGATTTTTAAAAATAACAATAAAGCAAAGACCAAGATTCAGCCAAAATAAAATAATACTCTCGTATAAGTCAAAAGAGCAGCAAAGGTAGAATCTAAAAATTGCTCCCTCACAGATCCCATCCAATTAATCTTATTCATTGTACTGCAAATTAACAAAATACAAAATTTTCCCCACAAGTCAATGGCTGTCAAAGGCCTGTTTGGGGTTGGGGGGGAGGGAAGGAGCGGGGTGGGGGGGTGGTTGGTAATAAGCCACCTCAGACAATAGGGGCTTTTATTCCTCATATAATAGATGTCAATTCCTTTGATGTCAGAAAAATTCATGCATTCTTCTTTCATGTTTCACAACCGTGACACACTCAACTGTAGATTGCTCAGGGGCAATCCAGGGAAGTCAAGATTATGGTATTACTCAAACTATTTCATACTACTGCAGACGCTATGGGCACAGTTATAGTCAAGAGGTATTATCTTAGTTTAGTGAAGTTATTATAAGGCTGTTTATAAAAAAGAAAATGAGTAAAGTATGTGTACAAAATATATATATATATATATATATATATATATATATATATATATATATATATATACAGAAAGCTCAATTGCTAGCAAATGGATGCCAACACAAAACTATTCTAGTTTTTTAACCTAAAAACAGCATCACTACTTTTTTTATTTTTTTGACATGAAATGGTTGTCACTATGTTTGTCAATCCTGCATAGACAGGAAAAGTTTAGGAAATAAAGAGCCGCGATAACCGTCTCAGCAACATCTATCAAGTAGGCTACTCTGTCATGATCTATATTTGTTGATCACTGCATCTGTAAAAGTCATTTCCAATTAAATAAACCCACTAATACATTTTCTGCTATATTTAGGCTCAATCATAATACTTACTCACTATTTCACAGAGAAATTTACCAGTTTACCTCATACATTTTATATGTTACATGGTAACTTCATAAAATTTAAATGAACCCTCAATACATTTTCTAGACAGGAAGCAATAAACTTTATTTAAGCAAAACAGTTGCTCACTTTTCAGAGAGAGAACAATAAGCTATAATTAAGGCAATATATACTTGAAAGCAAACATTGAAGATATGCAAAATGGAAATATATAGGCATTAGACACATATTATCTTCATAAACTTATCACACACCTCAGACAAACTTCATCTGTGAAATCGTCACTAGTGTATCCAAATAAAGCAGCCATCTTCTTAAGCCAGTACCTCGGGGCTGGTTTATCCCAGTCAGCCCATTCATAATCTCCACCAGGATTTCGGAAGCAATGGATAAAATTGCAAGCTGATCCCCGAGAACAACTCTGTTATAGAAATACAAACATATAAATATAAAGATCACTGTTCATTATATTACTTGTCAAAGCACTCTAAAAAGCATTAAAGGCGAAAGTAAATGGTGATCAACCTGGGAAAATTCAATCCCAAGTTTGTGACCATACCTTGAACCTTGACTTCATATACTCCCCACAAATAGCAACCCTCCATCTCATCACATTAATAAATTCACAGGTCAGCTGTCAAGAACAATTTGCAATTAGTACATAAATCTTCATTTACACATGCATCTGCTGCAGATATCAAACTAATTATTTTGGAATTTGCCCGAAAAGTTACCAATTTCATGCATAGTAAATGTTTTACATGCGATTTTCTCATCCTATTTTCAAGCTAATTCTAGAACATCACGAGAGACTTATAATGCAACTAGGAAATTCACTTTTCTGTCCTCTAATAAGGTAATTGAATAAGGAACCTATCCATTGCAAGTCAATTCCACATGATATAGCACTCAGAATGAAATGTATCCAACGCCTTATCATTCTGAGAACTATATCATGTGAAATGCACACACACACAAACACACGCACGCGCACACATTCACTCAAAGGATAGCAACAGGACACCACCTTACCAGTTTCCCGGCAAAATATCGACCATTGGTAGACTGGTATGCAAGCATAGCTGATTCCAATGACTTATAATGCACATATACATTACCCCGCAAATGGGAAGAACCATTTTTGCACACCTGTGAAAAGCAATCAGGTCAGGATTACAAAAGTTCCTCAACAATACATCATGGGGAAGTAGAAGTGATACTACATAACTAGATATTCAATAGAACAACTGATACTAAAGCGCCAGGAAACTGTTTACAGAGTACACAGCTAGTCTGAAGTTAGCTGACAATTAATAACTCTGTATGACATAAGCAAGTAGAAGTGACATGCTTCATTGACAATGCCAAAAGTCAATAAGTCCTTCAACCCCTTAACAACAGGGGAAAATAGAGTGGGGCAGCATGACAAACAACACAATAAAATTTAGGCGCTCTCTTTTGTGAACAAAGGACTGTCTTAAGTAACTGTGCCCAATTATGAATTGTGATTAAGGAGAGGTCAATAGAAGAAAACTGAGCACATCCATAAGCACTAAAATCACCTTGAAGTTCACAAGTTCTCCAAACTTCAAAAATTCTGTATGAACATCCTCGTAAAAGTCTTCAAAACTCTGCTTTACCTCCTCATCCGTATGCTAACAAAGAAAGCAAAGCATTCAGCAATCACTTCTTCAAGTAAATGCGAGCAAGTAGATAAGATATTAAAAAAAAAAAATTCAGAAAAAATTTACTAGTAAAAAAAAAGATAAAGAAAATTGAGTGCTTTACTTTGATTATCATTCATCAGTAAAACATAACAGAATGCGAAAGGGATCAAATAAAAGGCCACAGAAAAGGGAGAGCAATTTCACTTCCCCTTAGAACAAAAGAACATGATACAAACAGCAATAGAAAATATGAAAAGTGAACGAGGACAGAGAGTATTTCTATGATTTGTTTCATCATCATAACAATTTAATCTAGTCTGAAAGTTAAGCTGCATAGGCAGAAACAGACTTTCGCTAGTATGAGCTTTCCCTTTACCACTTCATCTTAAGCACATTCTTAAATAATACTTCCTACCCCTTCATCTCAAGCACATTGTTAAATTGTACTTCCTCCGTTGCAAATTAGTTGACACGTATTCCTTTTTGACCCATTTCTATCTTGGGTAAGTTTATATTTTAAATTATCAAATTTACCCCTCACTAATTTCACGAACTCCTCTTCTCTCTCCTATCATCACCATGATCACTCCTCAGTGATCACAGCATCAATCTTCATCATCTTTCCCTCTCCACCTCCACCGCCATCACCACTACCATCAAATCTCTGACAATGACCACCACTCCAACAGATCCCCTGTGATTCAGCCAACCCCATTCACCCTTTCTTTCTTTCCCTCTCCTTCAAAAACAAGCAGCATTTTTAATGGCTAAAATCTCGAAAGATGCGAAGGCTCAAAGAAAAATTGTGTGATGGAGTTTATCAACTTCATCACCAACAAAACCTCCCACGAGTGTTATTGTGTGAGTCTCTGCCCTAACTCAATCCAATTTTGACACCCTAACTCAATTAGCCGCTCTCTTTCTCCAATCTCTCTCCTTTCGCTTCTATGGAGATTTTTCAAACGGGGGTCTAGAAATCTCAACCACACAAGATGACGATAAGGGAGTGGCTGGGCAGTGACAGGTACGGGTTGTGACTTGTGAGGTTGACAATAGTGACATTAAGATGGCAATAGTTGGGTTGTGACTCTTGTGATAGAAAAGGAAAAGAGATAAGTTTTATGGTGAAGAAGAAGATGATGACAAGGATGGGGTTGGGATGGCAGAGAGTAGACGGAGATTTGGGTGGTGGCGTGGTTCTGTTAACTTGCCAAGCTGATTGGCCAAGCCGCCAAGGTGAAGGGTTGGTTGGTAAGGTTAGGGTAAACCGATAAAGGTATCTATACATGTATGCCAAAAAGAAAGGTGTCAACTAATTTCGAACAAAGGAAGTATAGTATACCACAAATGATGTTCCTATCCACAATACAAAACTAGTTAAACTCATGACTTCTTAGAAAGATGGTTTTTTTTAAAGAGGCACAAAGGCATAACTTAACTTTCTCTCCTTTCTTTGTACTAAAGTTATCCAAAACATGCATCTAGTTTAATGTTGGGATATGCTGTTTCTCCTAATTGTAAAGAATGACATAAAGATCAAATGAATGACAGAGTATTAATCGTTGCTTGTGCTGCTAGTGTCCGCTTCCTTTTAAGTTAAAAAGTATCAATACTCTCTTTCTAGCTTGTCACAATCTGCTCTCTTCAATTTTTCCGTTCTTTTTTTTTTGGGGGGGGGGGGGGCGGCAAGAGAAAGAAAAAGGAGATTCTAGACACATATGGCTATAAACCAGTAACATAATAGTGATTTTACAATATATATTACATTATATACTAATATACCATTTACTACAGCCTTGGTAATTATAAAAATAAAAAAAAAAGGATAGGGACTGAATATGAACAAGGATGCAAATCTAAAACTGCCAAAAAAAAAAAAAAAAAAAAAAAAAAAAAAAAAAAA